GGCTCACCACCTGTATCTACCTCGCTGTACTGGTCGTCGAATACCCAACCAACTGGATTCTCCAACGAGTACCAGTAGCCAAATACCTCGGATTCAACATTCTTGCATGGAGTACCGTACTTGCCTGCCATGCAGCCTGCTTCAGCTTCCCTGCGCTCGTCGTTTGCCGAACACTCCTTGGTATCTTCGAGGCTGTCTGCCAGCCCGCTTTCCTCATCATGACTTCTCTCTGGTACAAGCGTGAGGAGCAGGCCCAGATCGTTACGTACTGGTACATGATGAGTAAGTTATACAAGATCAAAGACGTACAACACCAACTAATCCTTACCTCCAGACGGCATGCAACAAATCGTCGGCGGTCTCCTCGCATACGCCTTCACCAACATCAGACATCCTAGCTTCTCTGCGAACCCCGGTAACGCTTCTATCCGATCCTGGCAAGCCATATTCATCACATACGGTTGCTTCTCCTTCATCTGGGGATTGTGGGTCATCTTCCGCCTGCCCGACAGCCCCATGCGCGCCAAATGCTGGTCAGAGGAAGACAAGAAGCTCATGGTCGAGCGCGTCCGTTCCAACCAAACGGGTCTCCAAAACAAGAAGTTCCGCGCCTACCAATTCAAAGAAGCCCTCCTCGACCCCCAAACCTACTGCTACATGGGCATTCAGATCTTCACCACTTTACCCACGTCAGGCCTCGGCGCCTTCTACAACATCATCATCAAAGACCTCGGTTTCGACACTCTCCAAGTCCAGCTCCTCGCCATGGTCCTTGGTGTCGTCATCATCGCCACACTCATGGGTTCCGCCTGGATGGTCAAGAAAACAAAGCAAAACTTGCTTACCATGGCCGTCTTCATGATTCCCGCCTTCGTCGGCACAATCATCATCATGACGGTTAAAAACACAAACAACGCCACCAAAGCCGGTCTGCTCATCTCCTACTGGATCGTCTTCACCTTCTGGGCCGCCCAGGGTCTCGGCATGTCCATGCTTACCCGCAACGTCGGCGGGCAGACCAAGAAGTCCGTCTGCATCACCATGAACTTCTTCGCGTGGTGCGCAGGTAATGCGATTGGACCCAAGGTGTTTTTTGATGGCGACCCACGCTATCTCAAGTCCTTGGCTATTCATCTGGGTTGCTACAGCGCGCTGCTGGTGGTCATTGCGTTTTTGAGGTTCAACCTCACGCTCAGGAATAAGAAGAAGGACAGGGAGTTTGGAAAGGATATTAGCAATGCGCATGGCTTTGATGATTTGACGGATAAGGAGAACCCTAACTTTAGGTATGTTTACTAGGGGGGTTTTGGTTGGAGGGGCATGTGTGGTGGAGATAGTGTTGTATGAGCTATGAAATATGCGTCGCATGAGCTATTCTACGACTTACTTGTCATGTTACATTACTTCTTGTCTCTACAGACCTGGTGATGGGTCACGATCTCTGCCCAGTACTTGCTTTTCTTGTGGAAACGTCGTTAACACCATTCCAAACAATATGCAACACTCAGAGTAATTGTAATTGGATCATCACGAGACGAACGCGAACGCGACAAGAGCAGTTCATCCCCACATGTTCGAGGGAGACAGCCCCGTGCTAGCGTGAGAGCTACGCGATTGGGGGTTGGCTTGGCATGCGCGTCCGGCCCCCGTTACATCATCGCTCTCGGCGTGCGTGCGCGCGAGAACTGCTGTGCCGCAACGATGCATCTTCACAGCTAATCATTCTACGACCTACGTGTACGTCGCACTGCGCACTGCGCATATTCTTATCGTTATACACATGTCGAGTTGAAGTAAGTCGCATTACCCGCTTCGCGCCGCTCAGCTTACCCCAGACGGTAAGATGCTCGGACTCCCTGATGCTTACAAGTTTCTAGCAGATTCGCGCGCCCTGAAACACCTTCCGTATATCACGACCGAACGACAGTACCTGATACCAAGCGAACACACTGTTCTCCACGACACGCTGTTATCCTCCGACGCTTTACCGTCGACGCAATCGCATTCTTGAACGGGACGACCCGCGACAATGGCAAGAAAGAGGGGGTATGAAGGAGGACATGGCAACAACAAGAATAAAAAGCGAAAGCCTGACACGTCAAAGCCGGCAGACCAGCTTATAGCCGATCTCGATAAACTCTATCGAAGACCTGCGCCGGAAGTAGCGGCGCGGACTGCGAGACTGCCTCGCTCCCAGCTTCCCATCGAAGAATGGGGACTGTTCGTTGACAAAGAGGCATTCGGCATATGTTATTCAATACTGGGACATGTGCCTGGTATATATGAGGAATATGAATATGCCAGGCACAATGTGCTTACAGGCTTCAGTGGGAACGCAAGCCAGAAGCATTCGTCTGTCGATGAAGCATGGGCTTGGCTGCGCGCAAGGGCTCCCGCAGTCGACGAGGCACTTAATCGCCCAAAGGGTCGCGCTTGGCTGGCTCATCTGGGCGTTCGTAATCAGCAACCTCAAGGCATTCAGCAGCATGGAGCGGTGCAACAACAGCAAGCATCTCAACAGCAGCTCCAACAACACCAGCAGCTCCAACCACAACACCATCTCCAACCACAACACCAGCAGCTCCAACCACAACACCAGCTCCAACAACACCAGCAGCTTCAACAACATCAGCAAGTTCAACAACATCAGCAAGTTCAACAGCATCAGCAGCTTCAACAGCATCCGCAGCACCAACAGCTTCAGCAGCACCAACAGCATCAACAGCTTCAACAACACCACCAGCATCAACAGCTTCAGCAACTTCAACAGATTCAGCAGCTTCAACAGCTCCAACAGCACCAACTTCAACAGATTCAGCAGCTTCAACAGCACCAACAGCACCAACAGACATCGATGACTTCAACTCCTCAGCGTGCATCCTTGTCGAACTCGAGGCCACCTGCCGGGTCTTCTGCCACCTCATCATTATCTCAAGCAATATCAGGGTCAGACACAGGCAATCCTGAACCTGAGGTGACATTGAGCCGCGAGCAAGAGAGAGTAGTAGCTCGCATCATGCAAGGGCGCAATGTCTTCTACACTGGTTCGGCTGGCTGTGGAAAATCTGCCATTCTTAGAGCTTTTAAGACAAGACTGGGAGCTGCGGGCAAACGAGTTGATGTAATCGCACCAACCAACCTTGCTGCATTGAACGTGGGGGGCATTACGCTACACAGCTACGCGGGCTGGATTCCGGTTGATAATTCAAAGAAAGATGATTATTCAATCGATGAGCTTAAGAAAAGACTTTTCAAGAAGAACAAGGACGAAAAGACCACTGCGTATCATTTCGAGCAAACTGATGTCCTTGTCATCGATGAGATCAGCATGGTGGATAGCAACTCCTTTCGCCGTTTGAACGAGGTGATGAAGTGTGCTAGAAAAAGCACTGCAGCGTTTGGTGGCGTACAGATGGTCGTGACAGGAGATGTATGTTGACAGGCCCACCTCAGTGAGTTCAACAGCTAACGACTGTAGTTCTGTCAGCTCCCACCAGTCAAGCCCTTCGAACGTTGTTACCGGTGCGGGAAAGTGCTTGTGGAACATGAGAGTAAGGATAAATGCATGATTCATCCGAAGAATGCCAAATGCACCGAGACCAAGTTTCTAGACAAAGATAAATGGGCTTTCCGTAGCGACGCGTGGCGGGTATGTAGTATTTGCTTCTATGACTTCAATCGTGTTACTAAATACCGCAGGAATGTAATTTCGAATGCATTCATCTCAAGACGATTTATCGGCAAAGCGATCCAGTATTCCAGTCCATCCTGCAGGAATATCGCCTGAGTAAGTACATCAGATCTTGACAGCCTTGACTGTCTACGACATGCCAACGTTATTAACAATGGTCAGCTGGCACAGTTCCGGAACATCTTCAGAGAATTTTGCTCCAACCGCGCCCAGAGCTGGAAGACGCCGTTGTGTTATTACCTAAGAATCACCTGGTCAAGAGAGTCAACCGGGAAAAGCTGAAGGAACTGAGCACGCCTGCTCTGGAGTATACATGCAGGGATCACTTCAACTTCAAAGATCATCACAAGGGTGATACGTACTTGCAAGAGATCGACAAGCAAAGACCACGCATCGTAGGTAACCAAACATTTTCGTCAGTAGTCACTGACACATATACAGGGTAGTCATCGTTACGATCACAAGGTGCAGCTCAAACAAGGCATGCGTGTTCTATTGCTGCAAAACCTGGCCCCGGAAGAGGATCTTGTCAACGGATCACAGGGTACGATAGTTGATTTCGAACCCTACGATGAGTCCAGGCTGCCCGACAAGGACAATGGACTCTCCGGCCCCCACGCGAAGTACTGTCACTACCAAATACTTGAATTCGCGCAGAAAAACGGCCGCCAGTCTTGGCCGGTCGTCAGATTCGACAACGGCCGAACCAGGACCATATTTGCGGACTGCATGGCGTCTGAGTATGGACATCCCCCACCCTACAGCCTTCTCTCAAGGACGCAGATACCTTTGAGAGCTGGCTATGCCATGACCATCCATAAAGCACAGGTAAGAAGACAGCTCGACCGAATCGGCATCTATTCTGACAAGTGCACCAGGGCATGACACTTAGCAATGTCAAGGCTGATCTATGGACGGCCTGGGAAACTGAGATGGTATACGTAGCCCGTACGTAATCCTTCCACTTATCATTCAAATTGCGAATTGTGGCTAACGGTCCGCACAGTCAGCAGAGCGAGGTCTCTCGAAGGTCTGCATGTCGTGGCGCTTCCCAAAAAAGACCTAGGCGGGCCAAATCCGGAGGTCAAGGAGTTTCTCGATAGCTTCCCACCGCAAGAGCAGGACTAAGCACTGAGGCATGTTACACGTGTCGTCAGCTTTCGGGAAATGTCCACGCGCATGGCGTCGGAATAGACATATGGCGCCGCCTTCATTCGCGTTGGATATAATGCTTGTCTTGGAGTTTGGGATAGGGTGTCGTGGAGTGTTTTTTGGCAATAGATATCCCTCAATTTCACAATGCATCACATCACTTTTCGTCTCCATCTACATCCCCCACCATATCCAACCTCTCGTTCTTCTTCGCACTGCCCTCCAACCCCGCCAAAATCGCCTTATCCTCCCCCGGTATCCGCATCTCAAACGTCTCCCTCACGACCGCATACTCATAATACCCACATCTAGCAATCGGTTCCGTCTTCCTTACATCAATCTTGCCGTCCGTCAAAACGCGCTCATCGATGTGCACTCCGACAACCTTCCCAATAACAACATCCGCGGATCCCATAGGCGGGTTCCCAGGAAGGCGTAGGGTGGTGTAGTACTCGCACTCAAACTTCACCGGACTCCTCTTAACCATCGGCACCATCATCTCTCTCCTGCCCTCCTTCCCTTCCTCCACAACCCCTACAGTACTTAATCGACTATCTTCCTTCTCCACCCCCGCCGTCTCAAACTCATCAATCCCATACTCTTCCTGCACGGCACTTCTATTCACTTCTTCCCTCAGTTCATACGTCGCTAGATTCCACACAAACTTCCCTGTAGCTTCGACGTTGCGGACGGTGTCTTTCTGACTGTTGGTTGGTGTTTGATTGGCGCTGAACATGACGTAGGGCGGGTCGAAGGTAAGATTGTTATATTGAGAGTAGGGAGCTAGGTTTGCGGCGCCGGTTGGAGAGAGGGTAGATATCCAACCTATGGGGCGGGGGAGGACGCATGCCTGATGGGTGTTAGTCTGTATAATTAATTGACACTTAGGGATGTCTGGATACATCCAGGGAGATTCATAGATATGCATACTTTGAATGGATCATACGGTAGCCCATGGTCTTCTTTTCCAGGTTGATAGAACATCGTGTTGGCAAGAGCTACGTCATGCAAAAGGCCACTTAGCACTTTCTCTCAAATGCAGTCGAACTTGGAATAATCTTTGTACCACGACAACATGTCCAGATAGACTTTATATCCTCCTTCAAAGCCAAATCCGTAATGCGGGTCGTTACCCGTCCGCCGCCAACGGGTAGACTGCGGGGAACCATCGTCACCTCCAGATCGGCAAACCTAGGCGGCATGAACTAGGACCCTGAGGCTCTTCACCCCCACTACTTCCGACGCCAGGACTTGTTGTGGTATAGTTTCCTTTCAACAAAATTGCCACATCGAGGTGTGATCTGTAGTACAGCGACTGTGTACCTACAAACCTTCCCATAGTCGCCTGTCTGCCTCGGCCTCTATACGCACCAACACCACAACCCAAAATGCCGCCAGAAACCATCATAATAACAGGCGCATCCTCCGGTCTCGGTCTCGCATTTGTTCAACACTATGCCTCCCTACCAACACCACCAAACATAATAGCCATAGACAACCAGCCATTCCCTCCTCAGATCGCCGAACAGTATGGAACCACCATCCACTTCCACCAACTCGACATCACCTCAGCGCAAAAAGTCCAAGATCTCGCCTCCACCCTGGAGTCTACCCCTGTAATTCTCATCCTCCACTGCGCCGGCATCAGAGGACTCGTTCCGGGAATCGTCGCCCAGCAGAAACAGGGCGACAAAGATGTTGCAGCGACCGAGACGCTAGAGGCCATGGATCACGCAACTATGATGCGGACGTTTGAGATCAACACTTGGGGCACTCTCAATATCATAAGAGCGTTCTTACCACAGCTCCGACTTGGCGTCGCTGGAATCTCATCGAAACCCAAAGTCGTCATCTTATCCTCCCGGATGGGATCCATTTCCGCCAACACTGCGGGCGGCGGGTACGCGTACCGAGCCAGTAAAGCGGCGCTAAATGCGGTGGTGAAGAGTCTTACCATCGATGTACCCGATGTACAATTTTTGATGCTACATCCCGGAAGAGTAGAGACGGGGTTAGTAGAGTGGAAAGAGGAAGGGGCGATTGGGGTGGAGGAGAGTGTGAAGGACTGTATGAGGGTTTTGGAAAACATGGATGAAGAAGGGTGGGAGAGTGGGAGGTTGGTAGATCGGTTTGGGGTGACCATTCCTTGGTAGAACGGCGGTGGAAATCCGTCGAGGGAGGTGGAGGGGGATGGAGGGGAATGCGAGAGAAGAGGTGAGGAAAGATGATATATTCTCGCACGTATATATCCGCGCCTATCTGGCATTGTATTTTGAAATGAAATCGCTGAACCTCTGATCTCCCGCCTTTGCTCATCTATCCGTACATATTCTCCCGCCTCAGATATTCTTCCATAACGCCATAATATGCATGATTGAGATCGAACCCCTCTTGTTCAGCCAACGAGCTAAGAGATTAGCCGCGTGCTCGATTTGTGCTGATGAACACAACTCAAGCCGCAGCCGAAGCAGTGACGGTGGTGTAGTTAGTAACACCCTCCATAGTTGTGCCTATAGGCTTCGTAGATGACGCCCGAGGAGTCTGCACGGTGGTGTAGTTGGTAATGCCTCCGATTCTTGTACCTGTAGGCTTGGCAGATGTAGATGTCGCTGACGGATCATAACCGCTGTAGTATTTGCCGCCAGTGTGTGTGCCCACGGGCTTGGTGAATGTCGCCGATGATGCTTCCAATGCTGGAGCCGCCTCGGAAGCCGTCAACAAGAGACGTTTGTTGTGGAAGGTGATGAGAGTCGTGGAGGATGGTGAAGGGTCATAGGGAGTCATGTTGTTACCGCCAGTTAAAGTGGCAGGCAGTGTCATAACCTTCGTTGACGTAATGACCGTTGTTACGGTAACTACCGTGGGCGCTGCGCCGTAGAGAACCTCGAAAGTTGTTGGAGCTGTGGCGGATACCGAAGAACTGTACGGGACGTAGCCAGATCCGTGAGTCAACGTCGCTGGCAAAGTTATGATCTTCGTAGTGGTGATGATGGTAGTCGTGATAGCTGGAAGGGGAGATTGCTCTGCAGTCATCGCTGAGAGGCGCTCATCTTTGGATGAAGTCATGGACGTTCGGAGCAGAGAAGGTAAGAGGCTGTTATCCTGGTAGCCAGCACCGGCATCGTTCTGATAAACTCTCACCGAGTTGATGAGATAGTACACTTCGTTGAACTTGTCGGGGTTGGTTGCAACGAAGTGAGCGCAAGATTCGTCGTGAGTCTCCGCTGCGCAGTGTGTGTAGCCAGACCAGGCATTGCCTCCAGCCATGGAGCCGCAAAAGGTAATGTTGATGATCTGTCCTATGTTAGTAGGCACTCGCATCCACGAGATCGAATGTACTTACGATCTTCATCTTCTTGAACGTATTGCGAATATCGCAGCCATCCCCAACGAAGTTCATCACAGGCGTGCCCCATGTGTTGGGGTCAGGATTGGCGCTATCCCAACCCGATGGCTCGTGACCCCGAGGAAAGAACCATGCTTTGATGCCATCGTCCTCGACTTGGGCTGCCCAGACACCGCCTCGGTTATCGTTGAAGGCTTGACCGAAAGAGCCCTCAGGACCATTGACGCCGCAGTCGCGATGTTCCATGCATTCGAGGTCTGGGCGCGTCTCACCCGATCCGCCATTGTCTCGCATCTTGCATGGCGTGTGACCGGTATGGAGGCTGAGCGAGTTCCGCGAGTTCATGGAGATACCCTCGATGATGTCGAACTCGGAGTACCATTCCTCTTGATGACCTGTGTCGTGGAGAAGCCAGCTGCAAATGGTTAGCAGGTGTACGTGTCTGATACGCCGCACAAACGATGATGAGCACAAGAGAGTGCTGGAGTCGGTACTGACTCGAAAGTCCGAGAAGGGGAGGGAATGGTTGGAAGTAAGACTCACAAAGCAGGCCACATGCCACATCCACTAGGCAGGTGCTCGAAGTCGGCAATAAAGAGGCCGTTGTCGAACGTCTGTACTCCTTCTAGTCGGACGCTCTTGCGGCCATAGCCTTCACCGGGTTCTTGCGGAGGAAGTACTTGAGTTGTATCGACTCCGAGATGTACCTTGCCGTCGTCGATGCGTGCAAGTCCAAGTGAAGTTGCTTCTTCCTTGGAGACGTAGAGAGCCATGCCTTGGGTGAACTGGTCCCAGCCGTTGTAGAAACGGAAGGAGCCATCGTCGAAGAAGTTGCTGGCGTTGTATTCCGCCTTGAGCTCATAGCCTGTGGTGAGGCAGAGCACTGAGGCAGCGACGAGGAGGGTGCGTAAGATAGCCATGATTGATACTTGACTGTAAAGCTAGGGAAATGATAGGAAGTGGAGGTAGGGAGTGATGAGGAAGCTTGACGCGGAGAGGTTTGAATCATATAGTGGGTGCCCGTGCCCATACCGTCCCGCCTCGCTTGTAGTGAGAGAAACCGTGCTGAGGTAGATAGCCTGTGTCTATTACATTGCGGCATGAAGCAGGAATAATACATGGTGCTTGAATGCTAAAGTAGCTCACACTATGCAGCTCGCAGTCTGTGATGGGTATAAGTATAGAGTAGGTGAGGAAAGACAGCATCGCGCCGTGGAGTCACAGCCAGCATGTGGATGTCGCTCCTGAAATGACTGACTGGCTTTTACAGAGGCGTGTATGACTGTTAGATGTTACGGCATGGACGCTCGAGCTGAGCAGCCAAGCACGCCACCAACTACCAGCCGTCTCTGAGTCAACACAGTGGTAGTAGCAAAGAAGCGCGCGCTCCATCCAGATGCGCATTGAAAGGAAAGTGTGACCCGAAGCCACTTGCAAAACGGCAGATCACACCAGCATCATGCTTCATCACCCACCGTCTTCTCTACGTCGCCCTCGCGAACATCAGTCAACGTGCCCTGGTCTTCCTCTCTTGACCGCGCGCCTGAGATCTTGCTAGCAGTCTCCAGTCCTCTTTCAACATCTTGCACTAGCCCATCCAACGCGTCGAAGATGTCGCCTTGCTGTTCCCTCGCCTCAGTCAGCCTGTCCTGCCCAACTTCACCCTTGCCTTTGCCCTTGCTCTTCCTCGGTATGTCGATGCCTTGTATGCGCAGCATGTATCCTTGATCCGGCGAGTCCTCATCGAACGAGGGAGCTATCCGTACATCCGTATCGGTGATTTGCCACTCTGACGAAAGCGACTGCGCATCTACGACTGTGCGCCCGTCTGCGCCGACATCGATTATGAGGTAATGCTCCTTGACACCCGGTATGGGCGGAGGCAGCGGTGACTCGACTGGTGAGTCTTGCTCGTCTCCTTCTTCGCTCCCTTGGTTGCGTCGTCTCTCCCCTCCACCCGGCGTATCATGCGGGAGGTATTTTGTATCATCCAGTCCCAGGCCTCGCATCGATGCAGCAGTTATGATGGTCGGGTCGTCGTCGGCAAAGACATAGTGTGTATACGGGTGGTAGTGCTCGCCCGACGTCGTGTCTTCGATCAGGGTGAAGAAGGGTCGGAAATTCGGCGGTGGTAGCAGCGGTTGCTCGTCACTAGGCTCGGGGTAGGGTATGTCGTCCTCATCCTCGTCTTCTGGCGCATCGCCAGGCTGCTGTTGCTCGTGGAGCTCGTCGTCGGGAGGGTCTTCGGCGCGCTCTATTGACTTTGATCGTGGAGAGATCGATGCGCGACGATCTGAACGGTACTCTGTAGTGTTAGGGTAGCTAGACATGTTGTGGGAGTTGATGGAAGACTGGAGTTAACGGAGTTCGGGAGCTCTAGTAAGGTGCATGATCGATAAGGGACGTGGTCCATGCACACTACCTCATCAACCGCAAGGCAGCAAGTCAGGTACGGAATGCGGTGAAAGGCCCCTAGCTCAAAGGCTAAAGTATGTAATGCAGTCCTTAGGGTATCATCCAAATCCAAACGCCGATAGTAACATCCGTGTGCAAACCAAGGTATTGAAGCGCCGCTTTCCCAGCTTCCATCATATGCCTGCAGATGAAGGCGACGACAAGCTTCTCAACGTGTTTCCGTAATCGACCGTGTGATCCGAGAGCTACAGCGGGCTTGTATCGGGTTCTTGGGTCGGTGCCGGGGTTTCGGTGGCTGTCGGCGCGTCTTGACTCTTCGACTTGAAAGCTGGATGTACAAGTTAGCTGAAGATCTGGTAGGTCACTTGCGTACATACGCTGTCGGCACATGGGACACTTCTCTAGAGAGCTCTCTTGCTTCAACCAGGAGAAGATGCAGTGCTGAGACGTGTTAGTCTTTATCGCCCAGGTTGACTTCATGGGTATGGAGGTGTACCATGTGAAAAGAGTGGTTGCACTCCCCCAGTACTATCTCACGTTAGTCTAGTCCCAGCATCGTCATGGTCAGACATACATAGCGGACACTCATCCCCAGGGAACTTGCACTTGGAGCAAGTGCTATCGTATGGGTTACGACAGATACCGCAGACATCGTCGTCCGGCATATCCCAACGCCAGGCGGCGACGGCGTTCCACTCGCGTATAGTGACTTTCATCGTGTCTCTCGTCGCTTGGAAGGTAGATTTCGAGGTTGGCGCGTAGATTAGATGGAAAACAAGATCAACAGCACCAAAACATGCCGAGGCGGCAGTTTGCGGCGGTGAGGGGCGGCGATTGCGCGTTAATTCCGCAGGGGTCTGAGCTCAAGCTGGAGCTCCACCCGGGCACGCTGCAGAGCGACTATCACGCATCACAAACACACAATCACGCAATTTCTGTTATACAGACACGCCGTGCTATGGCACATCCATCATGGCCGTCTGATAGAGGCTACGCCACCGATTGCTGGCATCAGTCAATACAGGGGGCAAGGAGATCAGACCCTCTTCAGGTTTGCTGCAGTTCCCCGCACTAACGCTGAAGCTCGATGCGGACCCTCTACACTGCGCGAGGATTGTAGATTAGGGAAGCTTCACCTCGCCGTCTAGCTCCACAAATCTTCGTTCCTTCTTCCTTCCTCGCCGACCAAACAACACCTTCTCATTCCATCGTAGCCATCAGACAAATTCCAAAATGTTCGTCTCACGCTTCCGCTGCTCTTTACGTCCGCTCTCTTCTACCCTCTCTATCCGCTTCCCCATAGCTATAAGCAGCAGAAGGACAATGTCTTCTCAACCCGCTTTCTCCTCTTATCTTGTCACGCCATCTGAGCTCAACTCGGCATTGAAGCACAATGCCAGCAAACTTTCCACAGAACCCCGCATTGTCCCACTTTGCGCTTCTTGGTTCTTGCCCAACGACGGTCGCAATGGCTACGACACCTTTCTTGCAGAGCGCATTCCGCGCGCACGCTTCTTCGACCTCGATGCCGTCAAAGACATCCATTCGCCGTACCCACATATGCTTCCCTCCGCCGAAGATTTCGCAATCGCCATGAGACATCTTGGTATACGACGGGAAGACAGCGTCGTTGTCTACGATACAAAGGAGTTGGGCATCTTCTCTGCGCCGAGAGTGGGCTGGACGTTGCAAGTCTTTGGTCATTCGAAGGTGCATGTGCTGAACAACTTCCGCAAGTGGGTTGAGGAGGGCTTTCCAACAGAGAGTGGAGAGCCAAAGGACGTCGAGCCGACTGAGTATGCGGTGCCAAAGTTGGAAGAGGAGAGAGTCGTCGCTTTTGAAGAAGTGAAGGACATTGCGAAAGAATTGGGCAAGGAAGGCGCAGACGAAGTGCAGATATTGGATGCCCGTAGTCTTGGAAGATGGAAGGGCGTTGACCCAGAGCCCAGAGAAGGTATGTTTTGTCGCATGCGACACATTTCAATCTGGCTAATCAATCTCATCAGGGCTCTCATCTGGACACATTCCCTACTCCACCTCGGTACCCATTACAGACCTCCTCGACCCGAACGACAAGACCCTCCTTCCTGCCTCCGAACTCCAAGCCATCTTCAAGTCGAAGGGCGTCGATCCGTCCAAGCCAATCATAAACAGCTGTGGAACTGGTGTTACGGCAGCAATCATTGATGCTGCGTTGTCGGAAGCTGGCTACCCCACACAACAGAGACGGTTATACGACGGCAGTTGGACGGAGTGGGCTCAGCGCGTGAAGCCAGGCGAAGGTCTCATCCGCAAGACGGAGTAAAATGCCGCCTGGAGCGCGAGGTTGGTCATGGCTATGAGACATTTCCTTCCAAAGTTGATACCCATTTCACTTTCGTGCATGTAGTTTGTATTGACCAATATATTATGATTTTCCGCTTTTATGACCATGATGAAGAATAAAATTGCATATGTAAAGTACAAATGTCGTATCCAACGATGACCAACAAATGGGGTATATGCGGACGCCTAGATGGTCCAGCCAAGAAGACTACCATATCCAAATAAGAAAATGCGCGACAAGCGGATGACTTTTAACAGAAGGAAAGATGATAATGATGTGTAACAGAAGACCATGACGTTCGCAACAACAATTCACAACCACTCACCCACATCTAATGAATCCCACTCATCCACATCAAATGAATCAGATAATTGAGACGAAGGAGGCTCCTGCGATGGCGGCGGCATCTGGTAAGACTTATGTGCCAGCGGAGACTGCTGCGTTAATGTCGAAGGTGGTGATGACTGCAACATTCGAGTTGACGGAAGCGCCGTCGATGCTTGCGACGACTGCGGTATTTGCGACGACGGAAGCGCAACCGAAGACTGCAACGACAGTGAACCCGGACGCATCGACGCCGAGAATGGCGAGCTTGGGTCGAGGTATTTATCGAAGAACTCTTTGACTTGTGGATCGGCTGTAAAAACCTTGTCTTCGGGAGGCAGGCTCTCGACCTTCAGACCCTCGAGCGAGCGAGCTCTACTGACTACACAAGGGGTCAGCTGGGAGTTGCGCAGATTTGTTGATGCGATAAAACTTACGTGCGACGTATATCTGGCTTGCCTCGAAGACATCCTTGAGATTCACAATGACTTTATCCAATGTCATGCCTTGTGACTTGTGCACGGTGATGGCGTAGCCTGCGACGAGCGGGATCTGCGTCCTTGATATCAGGCTAGGAATACCGTCTTTCCCGTGCTCGCCCACGGCTCCGATTTCGTTGCAGGCACAGTCTGCGTAGATAATTTTTGTTCGGCCGTTGTCAAATTGAACAACTGGCCATGGCTGGCGGTGATTGCCTTCGGCATAATTCCTGATCTGCCTTTCAGCATATCGGGCATTGTCGCCTCCCAAACGAGGCAGCCTGTCCGCGTCGAAGTCTACGAAGCCGACGATGGCACCCTGGCTACCGTTCACAAGACCGCCATCTGGATCAATGTTGGCTTGTAAAATCACGCGCATCCCTTCCTTCAGACGCACTATTGCGTCGTAGCGGTGTTTCTCCTGCGAGAGAGTTAGCGGCGTTCATGAAGGTGGGAGGACCTCCGTACTAGTTTAGAAAGAATTCTGAAATCGGCCAGCTCGTCAGCCTGCTCTTCGGCCTGTTCTCCGGGATGCTCCTTTCCGTTGCCAGCGTTACTATTCTTTGCCTTCAATTCTGCCGTAAGCCTTTTGATTTCCTGATATTCATCCGTCTGGATGTACAACACTGTTGTACCCATTGTACCATCGTCTTCGGAGCTCCCCCTGACAAAGTAGTCAGAGCACCTGTAGGTGAATGCTGGTGTGTCAAGCTTGTCGATTTCCCTTTGGTTCTCAAAATAAACATCTTTGCGTAGTGAATATATCTTGACCCCGCCCTCGGCCTTCGAGTGATGATTGAGCAAGATGTTTCGACATCCTTGTGGAATTGCGCCATCTGCTACATGTTAGGATCTCGTGTACAAGTATCGTTTCAATGAAGAAGCGAAAGAAAAACACTCTCGTTGGCTGCGCTTCGGGGATGGACTATAGTACCTCTACGAATTTTTTGGAGAATCCTGACGAATCCTGGGTCACTTTGCCGAAAGATTTTGGTAAGATTGATGTGCGCGAACTTGCATTCCTATAAGAATCAGTGCCATTGGCCGGTGAGGATCTGAAGAGATGGGTAACATACTCGCCATGCTTTACTCCGGAAAGCCCATTTATCTTTCAATGGCCAGGATTTGCAGTCACATTTAGTGTTCGTGCATGTAAACTCGCCTGATTTGGTTTTGAGGGTTTCCCCACATTCGATGCAAAACTCGAAGGGCTTCACGGGTGCAAGTTGGCAGAACTACAGTGATCAGCATACCAACGAGAGAGTTTTAGAGTTGACTCACGTCTCCCGTAACAACGATCTGGACACCGCCAAACGCTCGATTTCGATTAGCCGGATCTAATGCTGATCGGGCCTCCTTCATAACCTCGTTCAATCGCTCCAATTCATGGTTCGGAACCATGCTTATTTCGTCGATGACAAGCACATCAATCTCGACGAATTTTTTCCATTGCTGGGTTCCGTGAGCATCGGCTTTCAGCTTGTCTAGTGTGAAGCTCAAATTCACGGGCCTCCATCCGGCATAGCTTTGAAGCGTCCGCCCACCAACGGCAAGTGCAGCAAGATTCGTCGGAGCTATAGTCTGCACTACCTTCCCTTGGGCTTTCAAGAGTGGGACAAAGTACTTCAGGACGGTAGATTTTCCACATCCTGCAGACCCAGTGAAGAACACATTTTCTCCGTCCACAATCATCTTCACTACACGTTTTTGTTCGTCGCTCAATTGGACGCCGGGTCCGGACACAGAATTGTTGCCAGGTGATGAGTCGTAGTACGCAGACCCCTGAGTTGAAGGCGGAGTTGGGAGAGAGAACGTATGCGATAGAGAAGACGAAGGCGTACGCTTAGCCATTTGCGCCTCAGCTTCTGTTCTGTCTTTCTTGATTTTTTGCTTGTCCTCGTTGTGTCGCTGGAGCGATTCTTCGACCTTGGATCTGTAGGTGTTCATGAAATCCAATGCCTCATCCTCCGTGGAGAAGCTGGCATGTAAACCGTCTCTTATGTTGTACTGATGGGATGCAGTACGACGGGTTCTGTAGATACCAGGTATTCTCCCGAACGCGACTGCGATGTATTTGCTGTTTGGTGCAGATGGATCGGGCTCCTGAACGTATAGGCCGGTATCCCGCAGATCTTGCATCGATTTAAATGGTGCTAATTCTGCAGACTGTGGGGTCTTTCTTGTCTGTTCTGGAGTTGACTCTGGGGTTGCCGGGAACTCGACGTGGTTGTGCTGGTGGTTGGCATTGCTTCGAGACTGGCTTTGCGTCGCAAGTGGGCTTCTGGGGCTCCCGGACGATATATCCTGTCTCAGTCGCTTTGGAGAAGCGTCGAGTTGGTAGCCGTCTGGCTTTCTTTTCCTGTCGCTTGTCCCCGGTGTAGGGACGTTCTCTTGGTCTGCCATTGGCGGCGGCGAACTATTCGTATTGTATGATGTAGGATGAAAGTCTAAGGAAGGAGCGCGACGTAAGGGAGTGTATGGCGAGAATTGCGGTGGGTATATCGTAGGGACGGTAGCGAGAGGGGCATCATCCGGATGCCGGTTCGGTACGTGACCATCTGTTCATGCGGTAAGTTTCAAAGCTCATACTCGAACCACTACGGAGGAGGAGGGGAACCACGTACCGGACATGACGTTGTAGTCGATAGGATTGTATGCGGCGTGGTGGTAAGAATGATCGTATGCGCCGTTGCGCCGGCTCACGGTAAGGGACAGCTCATTGAAGAAGCCCAAAAAGAATAGAAAGCGACCAAGATAGTGATATGTTCGCAATAGTGATAGCCAATAGCAAAGGGTGTGATAGAGGCAGCTGGGGTGCGGGGTGCAGCGCGATGAGAGCGAATGGTCGCTCTCGAGCCGAGTTCGACGCGCCAAATCGCGCCCGGCGAGGCTGGTCATCGCGCTAACCCCGATTAGTGTAGCTCCTGACCCCACCAGTCTGGCAACATGCGGGGTGCATATGCAATACTGCTTCTAGGCTCATGTCAACCCAGGAGAGAACTAAATCTTGTGGGCTCGCGCTCGAATTTGAAGTCTTTTCGCGAGGAACTTTGGGTGTGAGGAGAGAACTAAATACTCTAAAGCCTACATCGACGTTAGGCTCTACATTGCATGCTTCTGCATTAATGTAGACCCAGGCCTGTTTAGTTTTCTTCTTGGTTAACGTGGCTTCGCGCTCGAGCTTGAACCTTGGAAGTCTTTTCGCAGAACAATAAATTAATCAAGCTTCTCGATAACTGAAGCTTTGCACATTTCTCACGTAGAAGATATCTCGGGATTGCCAGGCCTTGGCCCTCCAGCGATCTTGACATTGATACTTTCACTGGCATCATAGCTACCTAGGTAGTCTCCAGCGCTACCACAGCGTGAACATATCTCTGCAGCTAGCAATTCTACTCCTCCCCAGCACTCAAAACCGCCTCCGACACCCCCCGACTACTACTCTGCCCCGTCCTCGCCCTCTTAACCTTCCCAGCCTTCACCCTCCCATTCCCCAACCATCCCTGCTTCGCCGTTATAGGATGTAAGAACCCATCAATATGCACACCACCAAGCGTCCGCTCTTCATTGTCCGAGTCATTAGTTCTAGGGTCGTAGCCGTGAACTCGCATGCAATGCTCGACCACACGATAGGCCAACGGGGCGTCTTCATCGTGCCTCCAGCAATCCGTATGCGGACAGCGTAGTGTGCCGATTTGGAAGAAGGGTCGTTTGGGTGGCGGAGGCTGTGAGATCGAGGGGATGGTCGGTGGGGGTATGGTAGAAGGGGTGTAGGATACAGGTTCGGGGGCGACTTTTGATGCGAGAGCTTCGTGGAAGGGCATGAAGGACATACCCTCACCAAATAGAGTTGCGCAGCGCTGGGCTGTACGTGCGACAGCTCCTTGGTTCCAGCCTTGCACTGCTGCTAGTCCAAGCACTTCACTCCAGTCCAAAAGCCCTTCTCTTAGTCTCCCTTCTTCTCCTGAACTATCGCTATCGCCCATGCTGCTGGAGGACCTACGACGCTTCCGTTCGCGGGGAACTTTATTAGACTTTTCCCAGTCAGATCCTCCGCTTGAGATGTCATCGTCATTGGCGGGCTCTCGTTCATCTGTTGCCTTTCTGGCGGCTTTTGTCTTTTGTCGTACTGTGCGATCAACCTCTGTAGACGTTGCGCGCGAAGGTGGTCGAGTGCTAGATCTGCGGCTTGTCGCACTCTTCGATCGGGCTCTCGATGTAGACCTCGATCTTGGACCGCTCGACTCTGCACCTGACGTGTATTCGCTCATGGAAGAATCGCCTGGCTCTCCACGACCAAAGTGATTGACGCGCGTTCGGCGGATGGCCAGGGCAAGCTCGTCTAGCTTCCCCATCATGTTCTGTATTGTCGGCTGGAGAAGTCGCTGTGCCCTTGCGTCGTCTGCTAACAAAGTCGGCTCCACGAGTCTCTCGGTGCGAGGTTTTCTGCCACGTTTCTTCCCAGTCGTCTGATCACGTTCGGTATCATTGCCGTCCTCGACATCGTCCGTCGTGGCTGGTGCCCTGGGCTTGTTCTTCAATTTCGCAGTATCGGCGCTTTGTGATCGAGATCTACTTCGTGAAGCTGCTGTGTCGTTTCCAACCTCAGAGTCAGACGAAGGCGTTTCGCGTGAGTTCCACCTCTCTTTCGCCAGCCGCAGAAAGACAGCTAAAAGTTCCTCTCGCAGGTCGTCTCCTGCATCCTCCGTGCTTGCGCGTCCCGTAGTCCATTCGTCCACATGGTTGCTCGGAGGCTCTTCGTCGGGAGGTACTGGCCATGCCGTCCACTCTCTGGAAGGCACAACCGCCGTCTGCGTAAATCCCGCCACATCCACGTATTCAAGATCCTGCCCAGTCTTGAGCCAGCTGTCCCTACTCTGCCAGTTCTTGACCTTCGCCGTGTCTTCTGGCGCTCGTCGTAACCGCCGCTTGAGCGCATGCGCGTTATACAAGTGTACTGCAAGATCTGTCTCTTGCAGCTGATCGAGGGAGTCGGCTATCTGGCGATCCGCTTCTGTGTAGCTCTGCCATGTTTGGGGCGGTCCGTCAAAGCGATTCGGGCGCGCCGGTACCTCGTCGTCGTCGTCCTCTTCTTCAGACTCGTCGCGTGCCGACTCGCTATCGGTATCCAGGTCATCGTTCACGTCTAAAGAAACCGGGATAGCGGGAGTCTGTGCTTCTTGCACGTTGCGCGGGTCCGGGATCTCCTCGACTGACGGCGACGAGCGCGCCGATGAAGACGATGAGGTTGTGGATTCGTAAGAGGAGGGCGGTGGCGGAGCACTACCACCAAATAACGACATCTTCGTTGCAGTAGATGTCGAATCGGGCTTGCGGTTGTCTTGGCGTCAACATCTGCGTTATGGGATCCAGCAGTTGTGGGAGTGTAGAGGCGCGCTCAAATTTTGGTGGGGTTCTCGAAAATGACGCGCCGTCACGTTGCCGCTACCATCACCCCTGGTTCACAATCTGCGACCCATCTGGGCAGCATCATACCACCAATCTCGCATCTAAAGCCATCTTGCTAGTTCCCCATTGGTTTCTGATGTTTTCATCTACATGTTGAAATTGCTTCAGGCGGTCGCTGCAATGACATCTTCGTGCCGGCATTTGCTAGGTCTTACACCCTCGAACATGGAAAACAGGATCTAGGCACACTCGGATGACTACAGAGAGCGACCGTGAAGCGATCGTCATCTTACACGGCGTCTCGGTAGCTTGGCTTTGTCTTCGCGCTGTGATGTACCGGCGCATTACACTTGTGATCTGTTCACGCACGTGCCATCGCTGGTAACTGCCCAGGTGGGCGTGGGCGTCAGCGAGGCTACCTTATTAACCCTCTCTTTTGCCGTAGCCTCCAACGACCCATCAACACCACGAATCCGCTTTCACAGCCACCTTTGGCTTGGCCACGCGTTAGGTACGTCCCAAAATGAGGTTTGGGCGTGCTACTTTCAGGAGACCATCAGTCGGCGTACATCAAGCTTTGCGCTTACGTATCAGAACAAGCTATGTTCTGCAGCGAATCATCATTGGTAGGTGCTATCCAGGAAATTCATCAATGCTCTATATCGGATCTCTGCGGGGGCTTCATGAGTCACGGGACAGGAGCCTTCGCAGAAAGTCAATCGCGCACGAAACATCGAGAACGAAGTCTCTCACAGACATAGTGTAAGCGAAGGAGGTACCGACTTCCGCATGGCTGCACGAAGACTGAAGTGTACCTCTCTCTGTTCCCTCACCAATGGTCGATGTTCCAAGAAATTCAAGGAGAACCCTGGTAGTGCCGAGAGCCTCAACGGCCCATGAACACGTCCTAAGCGCGGACGAACGCCCCGAACGCGGCGCTTTGAGCGTGGTCAGCGTCAGCCTTAACATCAGTACAGTATCTCCACCAGCAGTGAGCTAGCGGCGAAATTTATCATGGTGTCGACTCCGATCCGGGGAAGTGGTCCTGAGCCAACACCACATGGTGATCAACGGCATGGCAGGATGCCCAAGCTGGCGCACCGATACTAAGAAATATCACCACAAATCATGAACCTCATACAGGCTCCCGGGTAACGCCATGTAGACGTTGAACGCCTCGTTCTTGTCCAACTCCAAGCTCAAATGACGACGGGACAAGCCGACTACTAGTAGACTATACGACATTCTAGTACTCCTTTGTCGTGCTTCGAATTGCAGTAGCTATACAACGCCCATCAGCACTACAGCACACACCCTGGACTGTTCCCCTTGTAAATGGACTCTTGACGCCCCATTCAAAGCTAGTAGCGATGCTTGTCGTCGATTCTTCCGAATGCGCGGTCCTACTTTGATTACACCTCGATCCACACAGTAGGACCGAGCTGGAAGAGCCACCGCACATACGTCGGCCATGCTGGTGGCAATATAAATACAATAGGTCTGGTATGCCAGACGATCACCAACCTCAGTCGCTCTTTCAGCTTTCACATTCTCTTGCAAGACTAATTCAATCATGCGTTCATTCGTTTCAATCACCGCCGCGGCGGTGGTCGCCCTCCCTTTCGCTATGGCAGCGCCCAGGTCGTCCAAGATGGAGGCTAGGTACTACAACCCGGAGCAGGTTATTGACACTGATGTTGTCATCATCGGAGGTGGAGGTATGGGTGCTTACTCTGCCATCCAGCTCAAGGACATGGGAAAGAGGGTCGTCGTTGTTGAGAGCTCGCACCGCCTTGGAGGTCACACTGAAACCTACATGGACCTTGAGACTGGATTCCCCATCGACATGGGAGTGAAGCTGTACCATGACGAACCTTTGGTGCACCAGTGGTTCGCACGCTTCAACCTCACTCTGGGCCCAGCAAGCCCGTTCCCTACCGGCCCAACCCAGCAGGTTGACTTCAGGACTGGTCAGGTGTTGCAGGGCCTCCCTC